ACTCCCATTTGACCCATCTTGGACACACAGCCCAGGTGTGCATTGTCTGGGCCAAGCAGGGCAGCGCTGTCATGCCTAACTATTAAGAACAAGAGTTGAACACCAAGAGCAAGAATTCATCACCATGAACAAGAGATGACACAGCCAATCTCACTCTTGGCCCATACTAAAATTTTAATCAACCAAGCTTTCTCCATATGTGCAGCTGTACATATACCCACTCATCTTCAGCAAATGCAGTTGATCTTTACCTTAAATTCAGAACTTCACATTTATCTTAATTACACTTTATCTTGTCAGATTAAGTCTATTATTCCAACCCATCTTGAATCAAATGTCTACTCTTCAATACTCTCTCATAACTTGGAGTCATCTGAAATTTAGGTCAGTTTCTTCTCAACTTTTCCTCTAAGATGTTGAGAAGTTTATTAGAGCAGGATAAGGATGGAGTCCTGGCACCTTACGCGTGTTAGGAACCAGGAATTATGATCAGGTAAGTAGGAAATACCCCTGCCTGGCTGTCTGTCATCATGTCAGTTATGCTAACAATACACCTGCTGTTGTCTCTGCCTGAAACACAATCCTCTTTCCTCCATTCATTAGGTTACTCCCACTTATCTTTCATATCTCTGATTGTAGTTGCCTCCTCTAGGCACTTGACCCACTCAAATACCCCTCCTATGGGCTTCCATGGTACCCTGTGTGTCTCAGGTCGAAGCTCTCACACACTCTATTGTCTCTCAAACTCTATGTGAACAAGGCAGTGTCTGCCTTGCTCACCATTGTATTTCTGAGACCAAGAATAGTTCCTGGCAGATAGCTGAGTCTCAATAAATATTTCTCAAATGAGTGGATACATTGATGGAAGTTGATAAGTAGTTTTCTTCCTGACAGATATAACACTAGAGAACACAGGAAAGGTGTTAACCCAGTTCAGGGTTCCTATGACAAGACGTGGTAAGGAACATGATGGATAGGTTTGGCACAGCTTGGATTAATCCTAGGCTTCCAAATACTTCTAGTTTAGTCTTCCAGGTCAGGAAGCTTCATCTTTTGGATGAATGGGTTTGATGGTCACTAATGATGGGGAAGCACATGGATCATCATGCATCACTCTCTCTTTCTAACTAGTTTCAGGCCATAGGCATGTGAATCCTCTTGGATGGCCAACGATGTCAGAAATCAGGAGTATGCAATGGCCAAGGACTAAGCCTTGTTCACCGCCTGGCTATTCTCCTACGCGTCAATGAAGTATCCACATGTGTACTGCCTGTCTTCTGATTACTACTATCTACCTTTCTATCCCATTATAAACAGGTGAGCTATTCCCTGATGCATGACAGTTCTATTTGCTTGTTCATCCAAGACTATCCTAGTCTGTAGGACAAAATATGGGATATGGAATTTCTCCCTATCAGTGTTGGGGTAATGCCTAGGTAAAGGAGAGATATACCAAAACTAGGCCTACCCTCTCCCAGTAAAAATATCTGTAACATATACCAGACAACCTCTCTCCCTCAGCAATGCACAAGATCCCCATTCTGGGTGTTTTTGGCGGCAGTAGAGTCGGGGATTTAACTGAGAGAAAAGTAGGGGCTCCTTAGTCTTGAGGTGCTTCTAGACTGAGGAGTAGAAAATTTGACTCCGTATACAGGGTAATTACATAAAACTTCCCACAAAAAAACAGTTAACAGTCAGTTCCATTTTTGCCACTATGCCCATATCCTACTCATGCTGTGGTCAGATGTGCACTTGTTTCAACCCTCCTTGTAGATATCCAGTAAGCTCATAAAGCTGGGTGTTCATATAGCAATGGTTTCTACCTCCACCTGATCAGAATAATTTTCAAATGGAAGTCCTAGATTCTCTTTCTGGAAATTCAAATTAATAGATCTGGAATGACCCTGGAACTCTGCATCTTTAAGTGTGTTCCAAGGTCATTTCATATAAGCCTAGTGCCTGTGACAAAGAGGAATTATGGATAACTCCCCTGGTCTAGAAGACACCACTGAACACAGCCAGTACATTTCCCTTATTCTACAGTGAGGATGCTAATCCCAGGGAGGGAGTTTTAGAAAGAAGAAAGACCAGAGAATTGAAGAGAGATATAAGCAGGATTCCAAGATGGGAAGCATGATCTTTAGACCTGATCTCTTTGACATTTAGTTGGACTACTAAGCCCCATCTCTGGAAGCCAGGCCCTCATTTGGTGGCAAAATGGCTGGATGTCAGGCATAGGAGCATGGTTCACCTCTGCCTCACATTGCTTGTGACTTGGCCCATGTGTTGCATTTCTGGGCAATAGTCTGCCAAAATGTGAAATGGAGACAATGCTATTGTGTATTGCCTCAGATTAGTGTGAGATTCAAAAGGGTGTCTCTCTTGCAGGTATTTGAGGACCTTTAAAGGGCTTTGTAGATGGTCCTTTTTGCTCTGGAATTCGAAATCTCAGCCCTGGTCCTAGGGACACTTTAAGTTTTGTTCAAATGGTAGCCATAGAAGGAAAGGCAGGGAGCTGGGAGGCAGGTTTTGAGTGAAAGAGTAGAGGGTGGGGAGTGGAAGGGATGACTGAGAAGGGTCGTCCAGAGCCAATGTTGAACCATGATCCCAAGGTCACAGTCTCCATTGCCAATGCATTTTTAAAGCCCCAAGCTTTTAAAGCATACAGACAGAAGCAACAGACACATAGGTACAAGCAAAGAAACATGCAAAGCCCACAAAAGGACATGCAACACATGTATTCTTGGTGCCCCTTTCCACTGGGCTGCTATAGATGAGCTGTAACTTTTCACTGTGGGCGTATCTGGGGGCTCAGGGCTGGGCATCCTGTCAGAGGAAGTGGAGGACCTTTGAGGTCAATTCAGACTACCTTCCCAGGAGGAGGGTTTGGCCCTGAGCTCCTCTGGCTACAGAGATGGCACTGAGGCTGGTTCACGCACAGTCCTGTTCTGGGAGAGAGCACCAGGCTGTCAGGGATTCCTTGGCTCAGCCCTATCCTGACTCACCCAGAGACCCCTCTATCCCACCATCATCCAGTCCCTTTCCATACCCAGGCCTAGTTATCCCGGAGACCAGAATCTATCCCTGACAGTCCAGGCCATGGGTCATTACAATAAAGAGCCTGTGTCATGACCTATAGCCTCCAGCTGGAGGGGAGGGTGGGCTTCTTAGAAGTGAGTGTCCTTTCACAGCCAAGTCTGTGCTTCTTCTGTACCTTGAGAGGATGGAATGCTCCCCACTCATCCTCCAGACAAGGGGATCCTTGTCCAGGGGTGTGTTTGAGACAACAGGGGGAGAGATCTAATGAGAATCCCCTTTCTGGAGCTTCTAAGCCTCTCCTCATTCTGCCTTCTCACGCCCACCCAGGGTCCTGGGCAATGGAAACCTAAGGATGTCCTGTGGGAGCCACTAGGCCCTGCCAGGCCCCTGGGGGCATGTGCCACAGAGCAGATGCAGTCCTAGGGCAGCCTGGATTTTAAAAGAAGGGTAAATGTGGAACTGAGGAAAATAATCTGTTTAATAAATGAGATAACTCCAAAATTGTATTAGAAAAATGACTGGTTGATACAGAAGAGATCTCTGTGACTGAGACGAAAGGTGCCATGTATAGCAGAAAAGAGTGTAGGCTTAAAATCAAGTCTGGCTGTAAATCTTAGGCAAGTCACATAAATCCTGTGTGCTTAGGTTTCCAACTCTGAGAAAGGGCAAGATACTAATGCCTGTGTGACGGGCAATTGTGGATATTAGAGGAGATATATATATAATCACAAACACACATATTCATATACATATTCATATTTTATATTTAATATTCATAAGATATTTAACTAAACTAGTAACAACCAAAGATTATCGAACATCAGAAACACCTGGAGGGCTGGTTAAAACACAGCTTTCAGGGCCTCACTCCCAGAGTCTCTGCTTCAGTGGGTCTCGGGTGATGTATTGCATTTCTCGCGAGGTCCCAGGTGATGCTGATGCTGCTGGTCCAGATACCACACTTTGAGAACGTGCTAGGATATAAGATCTCTGGGAGCAAACAAGGATTATGTCTGTCCCTTTTACCAGTGCCTTCCTAGCAGGTAAGCAATGAACATTTGTCAATAAATAAATGAATGAATGGATTTCACATAAAAAGTCTCAGTTTTCCTTTATATAACCTAGGATTTTACCTCTTGGGTCTCCACCACTGACATTGCAGGACTAGATCCCTGGGGCAGAGGAAAGACATACTTAGAGCCAGACCCTGGATCTGTGGTGTCCTACGATGGAGCTGGAGCTGCGGGACCCTCTGCAATATGGCACTGGATCAGACCTCCAGGGGCCCAGGCCAGAGCTGACCCTGCTATCCTCCCAGAAGTAGCCCTTTCAGACTCCATGGACCCTGCTTGCCTCAGGGCACTTTCTCCCTCTGGGGAAAGGCTCTCCTCAGGAACACTCATTCTCCAGCCAGATCCTGGCTATTCCGCCTCTCCAAGCCCCACCTTCATGCTGCCAAGACCACCCATGACTAACGAGATTTGGGAGCAATGAAGGAATGCAGAGTCAGCCTCAGATGCTTCTTTTCCTATTGTGTCAAAAAAAAAGTGCAAATGGTTTATTCTGAAAGAAAGAAGAGTGCATCCTGTGCAGAGTATCTCAGAGAGTCCCCACAGACTCCCTCTCCCCTCCCCTGACACCACAGAGGTCACATGGCTGTGACTACAGCCCCAGAGCTGGACCTGCCCAACCCAGGCCTGAAGACCATTATCCTTAGATTGAGGAGCAAGAGTTATCTTCCCTTCTCCTCATACTCACGCCTTTTCATTCATCCTTTCCCATCAGGGGCCGGGGACACTGACAGGAGATAGAAAACCCACAAAGTAGCACACCTGGTCTTTCTAAGGAAAGCTTAGCCACAGGTGCAATAAACCCAAGAAGAAAAATAATGAATAAAAAAATAAAAGCTCATCCCGAGAGTCAGGAAGGAGTAACACAAAGGCAGTATGCAGGACACAGGCTATAAGGGTATCATCATCTTTATTGTTGCATGGTCTCCTCTTGTGCCCAGTCCTGGGGTTGACCATCAGGACAGCTCAAGCTGCAAACTCGCAAGACTTGCGGAGCAGCTGCCTGCCCCAAGAGAAGCATGGACTTAAGGAATATTCAGGCTCCTCTCAAATGGGAGTTTACAACCTAGTTGGGAAGGTCAGACAGACACACCTGAAAAGTGAAAAAATAATTCAAGACATGTTGCAAAGCAGTTGCCAAATGGGTGGTGTGGACAAGGCAATGAGTTCTAGGAAGTCAGCACAGGCTTCTGTGGGTAGGAGCAAGCAAAAGAGGCTCCAAGGAAGAGATCTTGAAAGATGGATTGGGTTTCAGATGCTGGGAGTAGCAGAGAAGTGGTTCAGGCAGGTGGGAAAGAATGAGCAGAGGCTTGGAGGCAGAGACACCTAAGGTATGTCCTGAGGAACACCCAAGATGTGCCCGGTGGCCAGACTGGTCTGGCTAGAACTGTGTACAGAGGAGGAGTCAGACTGGAGAGGTGTCTGATATCCAGGTGTGGATCCTGAGATGACATGCAAAGGAGTTTGGACATCACCTCGGCAGCAGGGAGCCTCTGAATGTCTTTGGAGAGATGCAAACAAGCACGTATTGGAAATTGTGGCTCCTAGGAAAGGAGGAGCAACGTTTTCAGGGCAGGAGACAGGAACATCTCAGGCACGCTTCCTTTAAAAATAGGAACCCTTTGCTCCAGCAGGTGCCCCACCTTTCACTCCAGCATAAGTGCCTCTTTGGTCTCCACCACCACCCAGACCCCACGGCTCTGGAAACACATCACAAGATCCACAGCCAGCACCACTCTCTCGCCACTGATCATAACCAGCTGGGCCACAGCTGGGGGCCTCTGTGTCCAGGCGGCATGGACTGGACTCACAGCAGCCTAGGTCTTCTGGGTATGGAATTGGATTTGAGCCCAAGCACGGGCTGGGATAGCGCCTAGGCTCCACACATGGCTCTGGGCTTGGGCAGGGTGCTGGAAGGGGGACTGGCTCTGGAAGCGGGCGAGGTTCTGGGCGTTCACAGGGCTGCGGACGTGGACGTAGCTCTGGAAGCTCACACTGCCCTGGGCGATGACGTGGGGCTGGACGTGGTTCCGGACACAGATAGGGTTCTGAAAGTTGCCGTGGTGGAGGGCATGGGCGGGGCTCTGGACTTATGCATGGTTCTGGACGTGGATATGGACGTGGGACAGGAAGTGGACATCTCGGTAGTGATGGCTCTGGACATTGGTCCAGACGCCGGGGTGGACGGAAGCTTGGGAGTGGATGCGGCTCTACACGTGGCCTCAGGTCCGGGCAGGAGGTACCCCAGGAGGGTCGTGAGGCACAACTCTCAGAGCAGCGTCTTATGGGAGGAATCTGAACAGAACACTTTTGTGGGGGAACCTGCTTGGGGCAGCGCGGGGAGGAAATCTCTATTCGACACTTGGGTCCGCATCTCTGAGAGCCCCCTGAAGAAGGACCCCGAGAACAGTCACTGTTATAGATGGGCTCAGAGCGGCGGGGTGGGGTGCAGTAGTTATAGGAACCTGAAGAGCGTCTTGATGGCAGGCAGCCGCTGTAGTGGGGCTCAGAACGTCGTGGTGGGGAACAGCTGCGGTAAGAAGGCTGCAGCTGGCGAGGAGGGAGGCATCTGCCGGTGCTCTGAGAGCGACGCTGTGCGGTGAAGCTCCGGTAAGAGTCCTGGATCTGGTATTGGGGTGCGTAAGCGCTAAATGCAGCCCGGGACTGACGCTGGAGGGCGCTGCTGCTGTAGGAGCCCTGATATTGGCCCTGGGTGGAAAATCCCTCAATGTGGCACACTGGGGGACTCTCTATGTAAGTCTGGGCAGGCTGAGGAACTAGACACGGTATATAAGTCTGGATAGGGCATTCCAGATAAGTTTCTGTGTAACAAACTGGAGGACATTCTACGTAGCAGGTCTCAACAGGACATGGAGCTTCACATTGCACATAGGAAACCTCAGACTGGCATGGAGCCTGGCACTTCACTTGGGTGGTCTCAGACTGACATGGTGCCTGGGACTTCACCTGTTTGGTCTCAGATTGGCATGGTGCCTGAGACTTCACCTGTAGCGTCTTAGACTGGCATGGAGCCTGGCACTTCACCTGGGAAACTTGAGCTGGGCATGGTGCGGGGCATTCCACAATTTGCACCTCACAAGGGACTTGGACCACCAGCTGGCTCTTGGCACAGGGGGCCTGGGAAGGGCAGAAGAAGGAACCCTTCGCACAGCAGTTGGGGCGTGGCAGGCAACACTGAATCTGCTGCTGGTCACACATGGTTCTGATGCAGGCAGGTGGGCGGGACCTGAGGGTAGAAAGACCAGGGTCAGGAGGGTGAGAGTTGTTGGGGAGAAGGCGTCAGGACCTAGGGGAAGACACCCTGTTTCTTCCCTGACCTTTCCTCCTCCACCCTCAACCTTATTGAGTTAATCAAACTCAAAATTAGTCGTCTTTAGGTCACACAAATGTCACACTGAGGTCCTGACCTAAGGGAGTTTCAAAGGCACAGCCAGGGTTGCAGGTGTCCAGGGTCTCCCCTTGGAGAGTGGGCATACCAGTGTCCAGCACAAGAGGCTGCTGATGACAAGAGGATTCCCATCACTTTCCCAGGTCCTAAGTGGTGAGAGGGAGCTCTGCAGAAAGTAGAAATAACATAGTCCTCCCAAGGCCATAGCCCAAAGTGGAGACTCCACACTCACAGGAGCTTGGACATCCTCACACACGCGTGCTGGCAGCACACAGATATGTACAAACATATAAAAATGCACAGATGGGAACAAGCACTCTGGAATAGTCTGCACTTCGAGCATCTATTGGAAAGTGAAGGATCCAGTCAGTTATTGGGCAGCTCAAACCCAACATGAAACATTTGTGTCTCTATATTCAATCTTTTTGGGTGAATTTGTTTAAACAGGCCTGCATGGACATATGCAAAACATGTCAACTTTGGAAAGGCTCAGAACCAACATCACAACTTGCCCAGGGAGGTTGCTGTCATTAATAACCTGAAGTGATACAGTTGGCTAGCTCCAGAAATATTTTCCCCCTGGCCCTTCTGAGAGGCGGGGTGTGGTTATAATCCAGAAAATACAAGCTTCCTAAATTCCAAGACTGACATTCAGCCCCACGTAAAGCTCTACTCAGCAGAAACATTACAATCAGGTGGGTGCAGGCATACTAACCAACAACACACTTAGCCAGGGAGAAGCAGAGGGCAGTCCACACTCTTGCGCCCTCTCCCCAAATCTGCCTGTTCATGTACAGGCAGCCAAGAAACCAGCACAGCAGGAGGGCTGATTTGACTATTAGCTCATCCAACAAAACAGTTCTCAGTAAACTTCTGAAATGCTGAAAACGCTTCTAATAAAGGGCAAAGCCTTCCATTCTCCTTTTGTGCAGAATATCTAAATACATATGCCCTTGGGGAAAGTAACCCTCCTACACACAACTCTGGTCACAAAGTGTAAATTACGTATGCATATTTTCCAATGAGAGAGGTCCTGATGAAGGAAAATGGTACCTGAGGATGAAGCCATGTTATCAAAGGCAAATATGCTGACTTCTGTGACCCAGTTCTTCACACAAACTCCATGGATATTCTTCTTATGTCTCCAAAAGTCCGCTAGACTTTTCTCTCAGGCAGATGTACTGCTCTTCCCCTGCTCCCAGTTTCTCCCCTCACTATGCCTCACCCTTGTGAATCTGGGTACCCCTGATCATCATCCCCATCCCAATCCCAGTACCAAACGTTTAGACTCACCCTCCTCACAGGCAAGCAGTCATTCAGGCTGAGGTGTCTGGACAGAGGGCTGTCTTTATATAAATGGTTCTGGGTTTGGCTTAGACCATGAGACAATTCGTTGGCATCTGCCTGGCTCATCACCCAAATTGGCATTCCAGCAGCTGGTCCCCTCCCTATATGCTTGTCGTTGCAGTCACCTACAGAGTACAGGAGTGTCTGCCCCAGTGTTGACACTTCTGGACTATGAAGGAGGAGATTCTTGTTTTCTTCCTCTTTCTCCACCCTCTTGGTTTCTTTTACATCTCTAGCAGATCTGGTGGTGGGGATGATGAGGGGTGGCAAAGGTATCTTCTCTCCAGGCCCCTACCTTCCTCCTCGTCTCAGATTCTAATCAGATAGATACAAAAGAGGATAAGTTTCCTGACTCAAAGCAATTAAAATCACCTCAAAGAGCGAGGCAACTCTACAGAATGAAGAGAACATTAGGTCAGAGCTGAGTCTAACATTCCAGGTTGGCTATTTACAGCTGTGTTAAAACCTACCTGAGTATTAATTTACTCATCTGCAAAATGGAGAGAATTAAGTTTTCTTTCCTGAGTTGTTGTAAGGACTAAGACAATTATTTTATACAAAAGCATCCAGCCAAGAATGATATTCAAAATATCGAACATCTGCTCACAGTAAATGCTAACCACAAGCAACAGGCGCAGCTGGATCAATGGCTGGCTGTTGCCTGATGGCTTTACAGCAGGTGCTCAGCTAATGCTATGGAGTGGCCCTTGAAAACAGCGCAGTGCAGGACAGAAATAATAAACTGGCATCCTGTGAACCAGATACAGACAAGATGGGATAGCTTTTTATCTGTTGCCTACATAAATTTGTAAGTAATCTTTGGTATTTAGAAATAGAGAAATTTTACTTAAGATTCCGGATATCTAACTTTTCTTCTAAAGTCAAAATTTCTGGCTTAGGTGAGCCTACCTTCCATCAACCTGATTTACAGCTGTCCTTCTTAGATAGGAGATATACTTTTATGTTCTACAATTCTCCATCATTTTTTACTATATCTACAATGAAATGTAGTGTGAATTCCCTTTCATTATTTTACTTGTGGTCTTATTTTTCTTTGGTGAAATTAAAGGAAAGTGAAATAATCCATCCTCCTGGGTCATTTCATTTGTTTATGTAACCCTCCAGCCCCTAGAGGCATTTAAGATTCTGACCAAGCTTGTGAGCAGAGATTTCCGTTAAGACAGATCTGTGGTTTAATCTGAGCTCTAGTACTTGCTAATGAGGTGAAAGCTACTTAACCTCCATGAGCCTTGGCCTCCTTATCTATAAAATGGAAAAAAAAAATGGAAAGAAGAAGAAGAAGGAAGAGAAAGAGGAGAAGGATGAAGAATAAAGAAGAAGAGAAAGAATGAAATGAGGAAGAAGAAGAATTAGAAAAGTCATAGGATTATTGTGTGAATTAAATGAGGTAATTAATCTAAAGTGAGATAACTAATCGAAAGTACTTAGCACTTAATTCGCCATTTAGCTCTCTGGGCTTTAGTTTCCTCATATGAAGATGGCAGTGAAGATGCTTCATCAGTTTCTCACAAAGATAAAATCAGATAATGGTATGAAAGTGCTTTGTGACCTACAGAGCACATGCCAATCATGTCTACAAAATCCCTCCTATGGGGAAGTCTGCCCAGATCAACCTGACTTCAGAGTAGGAATTCTGGATCCTATCACTCATTCCAAAGGATTCTCTAGATACCATTCCAAACCTGAGTAGGATCGTAGACCTTCAGAAGATGAGAGCTACAAAGACCCCCAGGAATAGTCCGGTCCCACCCTGTCATTCTACAGAAGAGGACTCTGAATCCCAGACAAATGAACCTGTGGGGATCTAAAGCTAATGACTGCCTTGAAGAGACAAGACTCCAGGTAGCTCTGGTCCCAGACCAGGACTCTTTCCATTACAACAGAGAAATTATTCCTCTCATCACACAATTCAGCCAAGGTGCTCTGAACTTGGATAGCCCTGGGCTTGAGGTTGGCCTAGAAGATAGTCAGGAAATCAGTATAGAAGGAAAACAGAAAACATAGACCAGCTGACCCCATCAGAATACAAATTATTGAATCCTATTAGCTTTGTGTCTCCCACTCATTTCTTGATAGAATGTGTACTTCTTGAAGGGACAATCTCTATCTTGTTCATCTTTGTATCTTTAGATTCCTGACAATATGAGTCTGTTGATAAATGGATGGATAGATGAGTGGAAAAATGGCATGAAACTGGGCTTGGTTTACACATCTTCAACCACTGGAGAAGAAATGATATTGTCCACTCCAGAGACCAAAGAGCGCTGCAACCCTTGTGAATTTCTGCTTCCTGTTTTTTACAAAGAGAAGTGGGAGAAGGGTCAGAGGAGAGGGCCCAGAAAGTAATATGACAATGAGGCTAGGTGTTAGAGTTTTCAACAGTATCTATAAATATATGGGGCTATTTAGAAAACCCTGTAGGTTGAAATATACATAGCCAGAAATATAATGATATAAATCTAGGAACAAGTGACAAAAATCTAGTGATTTACAAAATTGATATAAAGCTATCAAAAGAGAGTCTAGTATATAGATATCTACAAAAAATATAAAAATTAAGATAGGTATAATGAGCTATAGAGCAAAAATAGAGATGAAGTTACAGATTTTAAAAAAATACAGAAGTGTAAAAGGTGCAAACTGGAAGTTGAATAGATTATGTGAAGGATACTTAGAGGCACAGGGATCACAGTATATACGAATGCCTTAATGAAAGAGAGGGAGGCAACTTGAAGAACACACATAAGTCTAGAGATGATTCCTTGAGCACTTTCTGCATAAATGTCACTTGGCTAAGAATTTGACATATATTAACTCTCTTGCTCTTTAAAATAGCCCTGTGGGGGAGCCGGCCCCCTCCCGAGTGGTAAAGTTCGAGTGCTCCACTTCGGTGGCCCAGGGTTTCACCAATTTGGATCCTGGGCATGGACATGGCACCGCTCATCAAGCTGTGCTGAGGCTGCATCCCACGTAGCAAAGCCAAGGACCTACAACTTGAATATATAGCTATGTACTGGGGCGGGGGCGGGGGGGTGGTTGGGGAGAAGTAGAAGAAGAAAGAAAGAAAAAAAGAAGACTGGCAACAGCTGTTAGCTCAGGTGCTAATGTTAATAAAAAAAAAAAAGAAAAGAACCCTGGGGCACATATTATTATCATTATTTTATAACCAAGAAAATAAAAGTTCAAAGAGGTAGCAATTTGTTATAGGTCCCAAGCTTGAAAATGGCAGAACCAGGATTCATAGCTCGTTGTCTAGAAATAGAAGCCTCTGGAAGTAGATATATAATGATGTGAAGTTATCTTGAGTTACAGATACTCAGAGAGGCACTCTATGTTTTACTGTACTATGAGATCCTTTTCAGGAGTTATGATCCTTTGGGGCCCTGGCTTGCTGAACCTTAAAAGGAATTTACTGGTGTCTTAGGGATGCCCTGATCCTGAGAGCTAGAACATAAATACTTGTCCTCTGTTTGCAGAGATGTATGTTTTCAACAGATTCAATAAGAGACTTCTCCTTTCATGTCATTTCACAATCTTCATTTTAGTCCCCCTCCCATCACTATAATAGTCAGAGGTCCCAGGTCTCCTCCCTGAAATGGAGACAATATTTGTCATCTGAGTTATCTTCTAATCTTTCCTGATGAATTCTTATGGTCTTGTGACCTCTACCCTCAAAAATTGAAGTAGTCACTGTTTTACCCTGTCACTAGGATACCACTGAGTTTTCCTCCTTAAGCCCAGCTTCAATAAATCAGATGCATATTTAAACCACATAATACCTATGTGTCAACTAGGGTAAAGGTAAAGGCAAAAAATAGTATCACAGATTGTCAGCACATGGCTGTTTAGCAGGTGAAGAAACAAGGACACCTAAAGACCATGTCAGAGAGAACAAAGAAAAGTTGATACTAGATAGAGCAGAAGAGCTCTCCAATTCTGTTTGCAACCACCTTTAACAGAGGCATTAAAAGATAAAAGAGAAAGCAAGCACAATAAGGATAATGATGGAGAACATTGAATGCACATGCAAGGAGATGTCAAGACACAGAGGGATACAGAGAGAGGTTGGAGTTGGAAATGCATAAATGGAAAATGTGTGGAAACAAAGGAGTGGGTATAATGACGCAAAGTAAAGCTATATATCCACTTTAACTCTTTTTACATTTTGCAAATTTGATGATGTTTCTTCAGTTAAGTAGTAATATGTGCATGTTTCATTGGCAGAATAAAAACTAGGCTAAGCAAATGGTACTTCTGCTTGTACAGAGAATTTGGGGCCTCTGAAAGGCTTGCCAGCTCTCTTACAACACATACAATAAAAATAATATTCTGAGTTTAGTGCAGAACTAAACCAACTACTTTTTTAATCATAGTAAACTCTCAGACAATTGCCACCATAGCAAATGGAGAGTCCTGCTTAAATGGATGCTCAGTCTCATAAAATGTAATCAATATAGCATCACTAGGTTATCAATTATTGGGTATTAGACAAGAGTAAAGGGGGATTATTGGTAAAGATACATCAAATGCCAATCTGTCTTCAGTTACTAAGAAGCCTTTTGCTACATCCTACTCCTCACAATTACTCTCAATATAAGCTGCTGCTTCATTTCAAATGCCTTTTCTAAGAATACTTTTCTCTTCTCAGAATGCTCTTTCCTGCTCCTCTCTCCCCACCCATCCCTAGTCCTTTTGAATTCTAAACATCTACTAATATTTCCATCGTATTTAGCTCAAACACCAATGTCTCCATCTGCCTTACCAGGCTCTATTCTCACCACCACCCCAGGTAAAAGGACCCACTTTGGGACCCCCAACAGTCGTCTTTTATAGAACCTACAAATACTGCACTTCTTGGCTGATGTGTCTGGTTTCTTCACGAGATGATGAGCATCTTGGTGGCAGAAGACTATGTCTAGCAGAAAGGCAGCTTCCTAGGAAGTGCCCGTTAAGTGTTTGTTGAAT